ATGAAATATGCTTGAAGAGATTGATCCTGCTGGTCTGCCCGATAGAAAGCCTTACATACGTCATAGATACGAGTAAGATTTCCCTTACCTGAATATAGAAATTCCAAATATTCCATCAAGTCTTTAACTGTTTCACAATGGCCAACTAACCCAAGCACATCCCCATCAATTGAGTTCCGGATTTGGAGGAATAGTCGAGCATCATCCCTCAACCACACTTTCTTAGTAGTTGCATCCTTAGGAGGATCATCAGTCATATGATCGTCCTTGTCAGTACTTCGGAGATATAGTTTAATAGTCGTAACCCATTCCAGATAATTAGAGGAATTAAGTTTCCTCTCTGTGATTTTTGACATGACTGGAAAAACTTCAGTGATGACACTAGACTTATCACCCATTTCAATGGACTAAAATTTGAACAAAACCTGATCGGCAGAGGAAGACAGAGCAAAAATCACCCACTGAATGTCCAAACTGAGTCTGCACAGGTGCTTAGATGACTCAGGCGACCCTGACAGTGATTTTTTACAGTGGATCTGACGTGAGGTCTCCAACGAAGGAGAGATTCTCCAGAATTGTTCTCCTGCAACGTGCGACTCCACCCATGGTGGCGGTGACGTCAGGCGAGCACCCTTAGAGACAGCGTCAAAATGGCAGATGCCCCCCCCTTTTTTTTACAAATAATGAACCCTAACCCTAGAGCACACTGGCTCTGATACCATGTGACTGATAATCAGAGGTTTTCCTCATAATCCATAATTACATATTACAAAATGACTATATATATACATAAGAAGGGTGCTAATATAAGGAAACTATATCTCCCATATTAATGCCTAAATCACCCATATTAATGGCCAAATCAGATTCTGCCATATTCTCAGGACTTAACTAAAATACTAATATTATTACTAATAACAGTTTTCTACAAATTGAATACCAACCACACAATTACACTTCTACTTTAATTGTGTAAAACATCTTCATTACTCAAACTTAATGGAACTGAGGGATTATGATAAGCCTCCAATCAGATTGGTATATTCAAGAAGGAAAAAGATGGCAAAGGATGGGCCGGCAGAAGTGGAGCAGCTCAAAATGTTAATGGGCATTTCAAACAACCCACTAAGTGGCTGAGTGGGTGGGTTACGTGGCAGTTACCAACTCCCCTGGGAGTGGGATTTATTACTTAAAGTCATGTCATTTTCTTTTGTGATTATCTTTTATCGTATTTTCCTTTGAGAATCTGGAGACTAATAAGACTATCCCTTCTCGAATTGGGACTTGATGTACCTTTTTTCATTCTAAATTCAATCAAGCTCAAGCTTTATCATTTGGTTCCATTGCCGGGAATCGAATGGCACCAACAACCCGGAGTAACCAATCGGAAGGCAGGGGTGCAGAACCTGACCCCATTGCCGTCCAGTTAGCCGCCATCGTCGAGAGACTAGCCATCATGGAATCCCTGAAAGACGACGTCGCCGCCCTCAAGTCTCATGCTACATCTTCTAGTAACAGCGGTTTTAAACGTGGTCATAAAGATCCTGCCGATGATGGTGAGTACTCTTGGAGAAACAATCGTCCTTATCGCCCTTATAACAAGATAGATTTCCCTGTATTTAGTGATGGAGATCCTAGAGGCTGGATTCTAAAGGCAGAAAAGTATTTCCGTTACTACAATGTACCTGAAGATGAAAAGGTGGATATCGCGGTCATGTACTTGGAAGGAGACGCTTTANAACGTGGTCATAAAGATCCTGCCGATGATGGTGAGTACTCTTGGAGAAACAATCGTCCTTATCGCCCTTATAACAAGATAGATTTCCCTGTATTTAGTGATGGAGATCCTAGAGGCTGGATTCTAAAGGCAGAAAAGTATTTCCGTTACTACAATGTACCTGAAGATGAAAAGGTGGATATCGCGGTCATGTACTTGGAAGGAGACGCTTTAGACCTGTATTCATGGCTAAATGCGGACCAGGGTATCATCTACTGGGAAGATCTGGTTCAGGCATTACAAAAGAATTTTGGTCCTGCTGAATATCAAAATCCAGATGAGTACTTGTGCAATATCAAGCAGACCGGATCCGTCCAAGAATACAGACAGGAATTCGCCAAACGATCTGCTCGCGTTTCCAATTGGCCAGATAACTGCCTGCTATGGGTCTTTCTGAATGGACTCAAGGAGGAGTTAAAGGCGGATGTCCGGATTCATAAGCCTAGGACAGTGTACAATGCGATGAGCCTAGCCCTTGAATTTGAATCTAAGATTGGATGTTCTCGTTCAGGAAGAGGAACTGCTTCTGTTGGCAGTTCCAAAACTCCCTCACAACAAAACCCTCCCAATAATCCTCCACCTGTTCCTCAAAAGAATCCTCCTTTACGCATTTCTGATACTGAGAAACAGACACGCTTCCTAAGGGGCGAATGTTTTTGATGTGGTGACAAGTATAGTCCTGGACACCGATGTAAAACAGGGACTTTCAAATTACTAGACGCGACGGAGGAAAAGGATGATTCCGTACAAGTTGTGGGAGAAGAAGAGGCTATTTCCCAGGAAGATCTAGCGGAAATTAGTCTACACGCCATCTTGGGCAAATCACACACCACTACAATGAAGCTACATGGAACTATAAACGCAACAGAGGTCCTAATTTTAGTTGATAGTGGCTCAACTCATAATTTTATCTTAGATAACTTGGTGCAGGATTTAAAGTTAACAACCCAACTGGTACCGCCATTTGGGGTTCAAATTGGGAATGGGGATATAATCAGGTGTAATAAAGTGTGCAGAGAAATTCCTCTACAGCTGCCAGAGCTTAAAATTACTCAGGACTTCTATCCTTTTTCAATTGGAGCAGATGTTGTCCTAGGAATTCAATGGTTGGCATCTCTAAACACTGTGCAGGCTAATTGGAACGAAATGTTCCTTATTTTCACCATCAATGGGCAGAAATACAAGCTGCAAGGTTTAGTTTCTGGTCCTCAGCAGTCTGCAGCTTTTCAACACCTTGAACCTACAACCCTTCCACCCTTTAGATCACACTATCACTCTATCCCTCTACGGAGTATTACCCAATACTGTACCTCCCAATATACGCCCTTACCGATACCCCCATTCACAAAAAAATGAGATTGAAAAGCAAGTGCAAACACTGCAGACAGCAGGGTTTATAAGGACCAGTACCAGCCCATTCTCTAGCCCTGTGTTATTGGTTAAGAAGAAAGACAACACATGGCGTATGTGTGTCGACTATCGAGCTTTGAACAAGGCTACAGTTGCTGACAAATATCCAATCCCAAACATAGATGAGCTGTTGGATGAATTGCATGGAGCCACTGTGTTCTCAAAGTTGGATTTGCGATCAGGTTACTACCAAATACGGGTAAATCCCTCTGATATTGAGAAAACAGCCTTCCCGACCCATTCGGGACACTATGAATTCATGGTTATGCCGTTTGGATTAACTAACGCCCCCTCAACATTCCAAGCAGCCATGAATGACCTCTTTCGTCCCTACTTGCGCAGATTTATACTTGTTTTTTTCGATGATATCTTGATTTACAGCCGTACTAGGGAGTTGCATGTCCAACACTTACAAACTTCACTGGAACTATTGCAAAAACAGAAGTTCTTTGCCAAGCTTTCCAAGTGTTGTTTTGGTCAATCCCAAGTTCTATTTTTAGGACACTTGGTTACTTCCGCAGGGGTGCAAGTTGATCAAGAGAAGGTAGCAGCAGTTCAAGCGTGGCCCATACCTACTAATTTTCGTGAGGTACGGGGATTTTTGGGCTTAACAGGATATTATTTCCGTTTCGTACGGCATTATGGCTTGGTTGCACGCCCCCTGACAGCCTTGACCAAGAAAGATGGGTTTTTGTGGAATGATGAGACAATGACAGCTTTTACTAAACTGAAACAGTTGCTTATTTCAGCCCCTGTTCTCCGCCTGCCAGATTTCTCATTGCCTTTCATCGTGGAATGTGATGCTTCATTAGAGGGAGTTGGGGCCATCTTAATTCAAGAAGACCACCCCATCGTCTATTTTAGCAAAGGGTTTTCACCATCTAATCGCCTCAAATCGGCATATGATCGTGAACTATTTGGCTTTGGTCCTAGCTGTGCAAAAATGGAATCATTATCTTATGGGACAACACTTCTTCGTGCGAACTGATCATTACACCTTGAAGTTCTTATTGGAGCAGCGGGGTACTACTCATGAACAACAGCATTTACTGATGAAGCTGATGCCTTATGATTTTTCAATTACGCACAAAATGGGAAGGGAAAACAAGGGGGCCGATGCACTCTCTCGCAGACCCCAACAAGTAAATTTCCTCACATTTGCAATCCCTTATTGTTTGGATATTGCAGCGGTACATGAGGGTTTAAGAACTGATCCCTACACCCATAAAATTATCCAGGGGTTGTCTACCGACGTGTCTTCCTTTCCAGGTTTCAAAATGGTACGTCAAACTTTATTTTATAAGGGGCGCATTGTAATTCCAAATGTACCGGGCCTTCGGGACAAACTCTTGCATGAAGCCCATGGGACCCCGATGGCAGGCCATGGAGGGTTTCTAAAGACACTCAAACGCATATCATTGTACTACTATTGGCCCAACCTGAAACAAGATGTTCGCATCCATGTGCAGAACTGCCTTACATGTCAACAATAAAAGTATGACACTTTATCACCAGCGGGGTTACTTCAACCACTTCCTATACCGCAGCAAATCTGGGAAGACATCTCTATGGATTCCATTACAGGGCTACCCACATCAAACAAGTTTGATACCATTTTTGTGGTGGTCGACCGAATAAACAAATACGCTCACTTTTTGCCTCTCACTCATCCATTTACAGCCAAAGGAGTTGCTGCCGTGTTTTGCAAGGAAATTGTTCGCCTTCATGGTTTTCCACGATCTATACTTCTGGCAGGAGCTCTTTCGCCTCAGTCACACCACTTTGAAGCTGAGTACTAGTTACCACCCCCCAAACGGATGGACAAACTGAAGTCCTCAATTGATGCTTAGAGGCTTACCTTCGTTGCTTTGCTCACGAGCAGCCTCACAAATGGAGTTCGTTTCTGTCGTGGGCCGAGTACTCCTACAATACTGGGTTTCACACTGCCATCAACACCACTCCTTTCTCGGCAGTTTATGGTCGTGACCCTCCTCCTTTCCATCCTTACACCACTGGGGAAACTAAGAATGCTGAGTTAGAAGATCAACTAATAACCAGGGATGATATGCTGAAAATCTTAAAACAGAATCTGCAAAAAGCTCAAGATCGAATGAAATCTCAAGCTGATACAAAACGCAGAGAACTCTCATTTGAAGTAGGGGATGTGGTGTTTCTAAAGATACAACCCTATAGGCAAAAAAGCTTGGCTAAACGACGATACGATAAGCTCTCTCCCAGGTTCTTTGGGCCGTACAAAGTTACACGCAAGGTGGGGCCTGTTGCTTATGAGTTGGAATTGTCTCCAGATGCTCGCATTCATCCAGTGTTTCATGTATCAATGTTGAAACCAGCTAGGGGGCAAGTTCCGACTTCACCTATTGCTCCCCTCCCCATCACACGGGACTGGGAATTTGACGTGCAGCCTAAAGAAGTTCTCTCTCACTGCTGGGTATGGGAAGCAGGTCAGCATGTGTTGGAGTTACTCATCTCTTGGTGTCAACGTCCAGTGGAGGAAGCTACTTGGGAGTGTTATGATCTGTTGCGAGCACAATTCCCTTCCTTTCAACTTGAGGACAAGTCGTTTTACCGGGCGGGTAGTAGTGATAAGCCTCCAATCAGATTGGTATATTCAAGAAGGAAAAAGATGGCAAAGGGTGGGCCGGCAGAAGTGGAACAGCTCAAAATGTTAATGGGCATTTCAAACAACCCACAAAGTGGCTGAGTGGGTGGGTTACGTAGCAGTTACCAACTCCCCTGGGAGTGGGATTTATTACTTAAAGTCATGTCATTTTCTTATGTGATTATCTTTTATTGTATTTTCCTTTGAGAATCTGGAGACTATCCCTTCTCGAATTGGGACTTGATGTACCTTTTTTCATTCTAAATTCAATCAAGCTCAAGCTTTATCAGAGTATGTTCTTAGCTCCACCTTTCAACAAGTCAAAAGAGCGAACTAGACTAGACATGCGCAATCATACCGCTGTATTTTAATTAAATAAGATTAAAAAAGAAGCATATAGAGTTGTGCTCCAAGTTTGTATCCAAACAAACTCCATATCATCCAGCAGACTTGATTCATCCAAACTCTGCATTCCAAGCATAAAGCTCCGAACTCCCGTAAGAAAAAATTGATTTTTGAGTAGTCTCATAAGTGTGCGTGTCTCAACACAAAACACATCCTTTGTTTGAGAAGAGGAAGGGAAAAAAGATCTCAAGGCTTTTCCTTTGGAACAGAGGAAATAAGAATGAACATGATATGGTTGATGTTATTATTAGTAGTATAAGCATTTGTTTCATATTATAATTATTACATAGTAGTAACTACCCGTAGTTTCCTGATAGTGGGAGTAGTATATGTAGAGAGGTTATATTACTTAAAAACATTTTTAAACGAATAAATTCCATAAATGATCCCTTATAACAAGTGGTTTTGCATATTTAGTTCACAACACTAAGATACTACATTCAACAACAACAACAACATTACCCGTTCCTCAAAGGCTCCTGCACATTGCGAAGTAGGGGGTCAGATGTTTATAGCATAGAGCTTGCGAAGCAGGGGGTCGGATGTTTATAACATAGAGCAGATGTACGCATTTCTAAGATATTGCATTCGTGGTCCTCAATTTTTGAAAACTATTCCATAATTAGTCCTTTAGGCCAACCTTGACCAAATATGATTTTCCACATATAGTCCCCAAAGGACTTATTATGGAACGGTTTTTGATATTGAAGACCGTGAATGTAATATCTTAGAATTGAAGACTAATATGGGAAACCACCTATCATATAGGATCTTTTTTATAATTTACTCTAAAAAAATCATGAATGGTTGAAGATAAATCTCTAATTAGGAGAAGCTAGTCACTGACTGCTTCCTCTCCTTCTAGCCACAGGCAAGAAAAAACCAATATCATCTTCTAAAGCAAAGAGATCGGAGTGAAAATCAAAGCTTTTTCCTACATTTTCTCTTATTTTTACCACAAAATACTTCAGGGTCCGTTTGGTACACGGAATTGATGGAATTGGAATTGAATTGGAATAGAAATTTTGTTGAACTGAACTGGATGGAATTGAATTCTCCAATTCTAATTCATTTTTTGCACTACCAATTCCAAATCCACATATTCTTGTGCTACCAAACGGAAGAATTGGAATTGAAGTCTTTAATTCCAATTCAGTGGGAATTTCGTGTACCAAACGGAGCCTCAATTAAAATATTCTCGATATTTGCATTCTACATAACTTCAATCGGTTCAAGGAAACACTCCCTCTCTGTCTATTCCCTCACCACCAACCAAAGGCACGCATATGGAGACAACATTTTGTCAGATACAATGGGTGAAATATAAGATGTTATGGGATACTTTAAGCATAAACATAAACAATTAAGGCCGTTAAAATATAGTGATTGTGCTTGCCTGTAAAAGGTAATCTCATCAATTGTGCGACTCAGTAGAAGGTATTTTCAATCTTATAAATATATAAATTGATTGTTTGCATCTCATGTCTGACTTAATAAAAGATACTTTCATATCTCATGGTCTCATAAATTGTATCCTTTATACTCCCTTCGTCGTGCAATAGATGTCTCACATTTTGTTTCAATTTGTCCCAAATAAATGTCTCATTTTCTTTTTAAGGATAAGAACACAGGGTTCACAAGATTTATGTTTCCTTTCCATTAATATCAACTACACACTTTTCACTTATCAAATATTTTCTTAAATTCCTTGGAAGTCAAAGTGTGACATTTTTTACGGACGGAAGGAGTATTACTTTTGTGATATGACAAGATTTATATACCTTGTGCATTGAAACCTCTTTGCATTTAAATAATTGATGCGTAATCGAATAAAAATCAAGTTTACCCTTTCTTATATGGTATCACACCCCTTTTAGCTTCTAGCCTAAGAGCAATTTGTTTTTTGCAATACCTAGTCTTCTTCAACCATGGCTGGCCTCCCTTTCACTCCTTATCTTGCTTGCATTGTCATCCACAAAACATGCTCACGAGAATTGGCGAAAATATCACATCCTCTACTAATATCGAGGGATCTGTAACACACGTATCTCTATTATTGAGAATTTTGCATTCAGGCTCTCAATCGTTCAAATAGATGTTGCAATAACAACATCTACTTTCTTCCCAGGCTATTCATCCCTTGGCTCGTATTACTGTTATATTTCCCACCCTCACCCTCAGTTTCAATCACAACCACATCCATATCAATTATCAAACACCGAATAATTACTGTACACCCCTAAATACATTCACCTTTATGTTGGGCTTACTCCATCACAATTTTTTGGCAACTTCCCATCATCAGGTTTGCTACTCCATCCAACTGCATGTTTCATGCCATGTAGTTATTCATATCTTGTAGGCATTAGGTCCAGCCTTTGAGACAAAGACAACAATCAACTCTAACCTCTCCATTTCACCTTAGTGTATTTCCAATACAAACTCTTCCACTCTGGCAAGCAATGAGTCACTGACCCGCACCAAAAATCCACCCCTCACTATATCCATTACATCAATGCAATCTGCCAATCAACCTTACATGGTGTCCAGCTCTTCGTCATCCAACTCTGTAAGCCACCTCATAACGAGTTAGTCCCTCACAAGCATGCGCCCCAAAATCATCATCACGTGCACAAACAAGCCAAAAACAACATGAAAAAGCAGTCCTAAACTACAATCTCCATACCACCACCAGCACTATGTCCCCTACTACAAAGGAGCCTCAAACAGTCATTCCCACCATTAAAGACAATGACTGGTCTAATGCAATGTGTGATGAATGCCTTAATCTCACAACCAACTTGGTCGTTAGTTCCTTGTGTTAGGCAATGTTTGAAAAGGAGAGGCGGAAACCAGCCTCAAGGTGATCCTACTTTGCACCTCATTCTATTCAACGCCTCTCGGGACTGAAACATAACCTCAAGGCGTACGTTTTGAAGCAGAAAAGGTGAACGCCTCATTTAATATACTCCCTATGCCCGGAAACGATCTTTCCAAATGGCAATTTTGGATGTCCGAAAATGATCTTCCGATTCCACTTTTTAACACGTCAAATGTCATAATTACCCACACTTTCCTCATTTATTACACCCCATGCACCTCATTTAACATGCCTCACCCACCGTCATTACGAGTGAAGTGGACATTTCCCTTTTTTCCAACTCTCCTTAAAGTGCGTGGAAAGTCAACTTGGGAAGATCATTTCGGGACAGAGGGAGTAATTTTTCCTACAATTAAGGTCAAATTAGTCTACTTACATTGCAAATTTGAATTAGACATGTTAACAACCCTACTTCCATTCTATCACTACATGAATGATCGTCATTTTCTTCTTGCACTGCGTCATAACCCAGCTCGATAACCTCCATCACCGGGTAAGTTTTCTTCAAGCTTTCGACTGTACACGTTTGATTGTACGGACTACAAAGGAGTACGTATTTTTTGATTTTGTTGCCAATTGCGTGACCTGCTTCTTTCTATTGGGCTATTGTGTTGTTTTTTTCATCTTCTCACTTTCATTAAATAAGATTGTTTAATATTTTATGTTTCAATTTTTTAAGAGGTTTCTGCATTTGCAGTGTTATTTTATGTATATCCATTCTGAATTCTAGTTTTTTGCATAAAACTTTTTACTGAATGCTTAAATGTTGGGCCCATAATGGAAATATGGTTGTATTATCTCATGTTAGAATTTGTTTCACTTGAGAGCTTATAAAATATTTCCATCATCTCCGATGGAGCCAAAATTTCACCATTTTTTGGCTTTGGGGTGTGATGAAATAAATCAAAATGGATCTCTAAACTGTCTGCGCTTTAATTAATGAAGTAGCAGTTAGTCAAGCAATGCAACTTTCGACGTTGAGCCGGGGGTCTCTTTGGAAACAGCCTCTCTACTTTCAAGTAGGGGCAAGGTCTGCGTACACACACCCTCCCCAGACCCTACTCTTGTGGGATTTAACTAGGTTGTTGTTGTTGTTGTTGAGAGCTTATAAAATGACAGTTGAATGGCCAATTCGACTGATTCAGAAAGTGTCATGGATTGTCCTTGGTCCAATACTAAACTGTTAAGGATCAAAAGAGGTCTGAGATAGTTGAAAAACCCCTCTATTGCATGTTGCTAGAAGAGGAAGAACTTTGTATCCGATAGTCTGTGACTAATTAGGAAGAACTGTTTAACTGTTTCAACAATGATAAGTTTATTATTAATCATATGAGTATAAATAGACAAAGTATTACAAGAGACATATCATAATCATACTAGGAAACATAAATCCTTTAATTATTCTATTAAGTAAAATAAAATAAGACTAGTAATAATAGCTGTTAATATTTCTAATAATAATAGGAAGCTAATAATAATAGAAATATGAAACTAATAATAATTAATTCTAGGAAACTAAAAATATCAATTATAAATTTATAATAAGAATTAATCAAATATTAAAACATATACCTATGGCACCGTGTCACGGAGGTGCAAGTGTTGGGCATTGATTTCTCATAGAATTCAATGGTACTCTTAATGGGTACAAGGCTAGTCATGATGTTCAAGCCTTTACTCAAAGGTTGGGCATTGATTTCTCAAAGATTTTCTCTATGGTAGCTAAGCACACAAAACTTAGACCAGTCCTCTCTATTGTTGAGGCATGATTGGCCCCTCCGTCGTGTTGATGTTTAAAATGTTTTTCTTGATGAAAAGCTTGATGAAGTAGTTTAAGTGAAACAGCCTAAGGGTTTTGAGAGTTTCAAGCATCCTGACTATGCTTGCAAATTACATAAGGCAATATATAGATTGTAGCAAGCTCCTTGGGCTCTGTACCATGAATTAAAGAACTATGTGCTGCATTATGGCTTTGTTATGGCCAGATCTGACCACTGCTTGTGCATTTACTGCAAAAATGCAGTCTTGATATATCTTATGGTCTACAGAGAAGATTTGTCTGTCACAAGTGGCAATACACATGCTCTTGAAAAGTTCATACAAGCTTTGAATAGGCAATTTTCTCTCAAAGATATTGGACATCTTGGATACTTGGTTTACAAGTTGTTTGTGACAAGCCTGGATTTTTTTCTCTCAGAGGAAACACGCAAATGAAATCCTTGCTTGTGCTCAGATGGAAGAAGCTAAATATGTAACCACACAAATAAGTAATGAGAAGGGGTGAGGTTTTACAATTGGGTGATGCATAGTTTTGAAAGGCAAGCACCTCCCTCACCTAAGACGCCTTAGGCGATCGGCGACCTTCTACCACTTGTTCAGGCGAGGCATTGTACCCCCTTCTCGCCTGAGTCGCTCGCTTTTCTTGCCTTACTGGCTATGGGCCTCTTAGAAAATGAGCTGGCATTTTTTTAATATATTTCTATATATTAAATACTCGTTTTTTTCAGAAACATATGTAGTAACTACTCTAATTGTTTTGTTTAACATGTATGACTTGCTTAGGATGGACATTATTAATTGCACAGAACTTTATTTTCTATGTATGTGTGTGTATGCCCCAAGTTTGCCTTTTGGCCGCCCGCCTCTTGCCTTGCCTTTTGCCTTAAAAAAAGGTCCTCTCGCCTGCCTCTCTCCTTCCGCCTTTCAAAACTATGCGGTGATGATGCAGCTTTTGAAGTTATCAAGAACTGGTGGGCTCCCTTCAGTATCTTGATCTTACACGCCTGGACACTGCCCATGCCACTCAGACGTTGGCCCAATTTCTCAAGCTCCTTCTATCGGGCACTGGCAAGCTCCTAAACACCTTATGTATCTATCGGTTCTACCCAATACTGTCAATCAAAGGCACTATATTCACTCTCAATCCCCTCTAAATCTCCATGCCAACACAGACACATAACATTGTTTTGGGTTAAAAGTTTACTCCATGAGTTGCACATTCGGTGCACAGCGTGCCTCTTATGGTACACATACAGCCTCCGCACAACATATGTGGCTGTTAATCCAACATTCCATTCACTAATGAAACATCTTGCCTTGCACTGTCATTTTATCCGGAAACTAGTTCAAGAAAATGGTTTCTAGAAAGGGAACATGAACATAGGATTTACTCACAAAGCTCTTATCCTCAAACATAATAGCAAAATTGGCGTTCCGGTTCATCCACCACCTTGAGGGGCATAATAGAAGATATTATCATATCTGATAAACACTTAGACTGATTGTTCACATCTTTTAGTATCCCTCATATTATGATATGATGATATTTACTTACCTTGTGTATAGAAACCTCTTTCTTTGTATATAAATACTGGATGTGTAATTGATTAAGAATCAAAATTAAAAATTTCCCTCTCTTATATGAATTCCTGATCATTCAATTTCCAGAAATCTTATATTTATATCAACAGTTAATTAGTTTCTGTTCTGAAGATTTCGCACTGAGGTCAATTCGTAGCATGAAGGTACATTATCGGGGTAGATTTACAATAGAGAGAAAGAATAAGAAGGGAAGAGCTTTATACCCACAGAGAATGAGCAGCAGGAAGACATACGCACAGCCATGATTATCTCCTTTTGTTTGAATCTAGGAATGCCGGAGAAGAATTGACACTGTCGCGATTCTTGCCTACTTTAGGGTCAGTTACCAAAAACTAATAAAAATATTATCACCACAAATAAAATTTACGTTTACTATTTATAGGGTAAAACTTTATTCATTTTGTTTGCCTATTTTCGTCACCCATTTGATAAAATAAAATAGTCATGTTACCTCTAGTTTTGTAGATCTTTTGATATAGTTTTTTAATATATAATTTTTATTTTTCAATTCTACACCATTTTTCATATAAAATGATTTAAAAAAACTTCAGTCAAACATCGTAACGCGCAATGTAAAGTTTATTTGTGGATGGAGGGAGTAATAATAATATTTTTTCAACGATTAAGGATGTATTTGATGAGGAAAAAAAAGCTATTGGTTTTGATATCTCAAGATATCAAAACTTTTTTTTGGTGTTTGGTGAAACTAAAAGATATACGGAGTATCAAATTTGATAACTCTCGATATCATAAATATTTCAAATGAAGACTTTTGATATCTCCGTAATTTGAGAGATATCGATATGGGACTTTGAAATCTCTTTCAATCGTTAACCATTTTTTATCACCAACTATCATTGTCACCGCCAACCACCCCCGCTCCCGATCACCCCCGCCTACCAATAATTAAATCATGATTTTGAATCTCTCCAAACAATTTTTTTTAAGATTTATACACTCATATCATTTCTTTCAGATTTCAAAACTCAAATTATTTTATCATACTTCTAAAAGTCACCAAACAAACCCCAAATCATACGGAGTAATTACTATTTGATTATATCACATTACTTTATTTAAAGGTACACACACCTAAATATTAATTAGTATTATAACTTAATATGCTTATTATTATTTTTATTATTACTATTACTAGTATCACACCCCGGCGTTGCACGGTTTATATTTACAATTTGAAAATATATTGGTGTTATTATTGAAGAAAATAAATAGACCATATAAAGAAATTTAAAACTTTTCATTATTTTAAAGCATGAATAACGAATGAATTACATCTTGAAAAAGTTCTTTAAGACTACATTACTGGTGCAATTTGTGTGAACATTCTCTGCGTTGTATATGAGAATCTTCAAGCCATTGCGATCTGTTATTCTTGAAAACGCAATATATAACTGTCCTTGACTACATACTGGTTTCTGTAATAATAAGGGAAAAGTCCTTAAATAGAAGTAAAAAAATTATGAAAATACTAAAATATGAGCCATAAATCTTTTAAGACCAAAATAAGAGTTCACACTGTCATTGTTACTGATGGGTGTATTCCACCCACGACCGGTCAAAGGAGAAGACCAGTTAGTTGACCGGTCAATCTCGAAAGTCTTGGAAGGGGGACTTAAATCATCAGCAAATCGATATGTAATCGGCCAAAAGATGACCGGTATACTTCACGAAAAAGTATACCGGTCAAACTACGTTGTCACCCTATTTATTCCCTGACTTCGATGAATTCATCCCTCGGAGATTACCCGGTGTAGTTTCTAGGGTTGGAAAGTGTCGGCAGAAGAGAATCTAAAAGGGGCTTGGCGTGTAGCGACCCATGTCAGTGGAGGACAACTGGAGATGCTGAAGGAATGTTTCCAAGCCAGAACGCGACAAGGGAAGTAATTCCCCTCACAAGGCGACAAGGCTGCTCGAGGACAAAACCAGTCACCTCGCACCACATCAGCAGCGTGCCCCCACGTGGACGCACGTGGTCCTGTCCCCCTTAGCCTAGTATAAGTACTCATGTAAACCTCGGAAAGAGGGATCCGAATTCACTCTTTCTAAACTCCCTTGTAAAAGCACCCGTGCATTCTCCGTTATAATATAAATTGGGCTACAGGTGTTCCACCGAAAGTCCTACCGGCCAATCTGCGTGTTTTCACCTTTCTTACTTTACCAAATCAAGCAAACTATTCTAGACCCGGTCTAGTACAGTTTGCCCGGTCAAGTAATTTACACCATCATTTTTTGTGCCACCCGTGGGACCGTTAAGGTTTCTTCTCTTCTAAACACAAACCTACCCACAAAAACACCACTCAAAATGTCTTCGAGTCAGCAAATCAACGCTACTTCCGCTCAGGTGCAAGCCACCAATGAAGGTACCAGCATCCCTGTGGCTGCTACCCTACCGGTCATTTCGGCCCCAGTATTGCCTTTGGGTCTGAGCTCTGTCCCAACGCCTAGCGTGATCAGCCCCTTCGCGACCCCCGTCCCTTCCGCTGGACCAAGGGTCACGTTCCCACCAAGCATGACTCAGTTCATGAATGACCCAGCCAACCTACAAGCCATCCAGGGCTTTGGCCAGGTCATGGCCATGTGCCAACAGAATGGGGGATGCCTTTTCTCCCTGGTATGTTCCCGTTCGCCCTCCCAGGCACGGGAACCGTGCCCCTGCAAGCTCCAATGGCAGTGACGCCATTCCAGACACTGATGCCACAGCCATCACCTTTCCAGTCCCAGCTGGTCAGCACCATGGCCCCTGTCAACTTGACTGGCGCGCTTAACGCTGCAGGGCCGTCGCGTCCCCCGCAAGGTACGAATCCGCAGATCACTCCTGATGATCATTGCGTCTCAGTTGAGAGCGCTGACGGCGAGTGGGACATTCCGAGGGCCCACAAGAAGAAGAAAGAAAAAAACATCCGGCCAGCGACCTCCCGAAACTCTGCCTTTGAAAGGCTGGGGGATAGGGAGGAAGGCCAGAGGAAGTCAGCCAAGCAAAGGCTGGGGCAGAGCGTTGCCCATGTCAGCGCGTTCGCCCGGCTAGGCGAGGTGAGGGAGGTCGAGCCTGCCCGCACCCGGCGCTCCCCGTCTAACCGGCAGGAGCCAGCGAGGACGAGGGCCTCTCGTCAAGAAGAGGAAGCAGAGAGCCAGCCCAGGTTACCGGTGGGGAACCGGTTGACCATCCCAAATGACCGCGTCCAGCAGATGGAGGCAAAACTGGAAAGGCTGGAAAAGAAGGTCGGGGAGAAGAATGACCGGGACAAACCCCTGGCGGGGTCCCCGTTCACCACAAGGGTCCATCTGACACCTTTCCCGCGAAAGGTCAAGATCGACGCCCCTAGATTCACCGGGAAGGAAGATCCGGAAATCCATCTGGACTCCTTCAACCAGAGTGCGACCATGAACGGTTGCACCGATGAAGAAAAGTGCCTTCTTTTCTTCCAGACCTTGCGGAACCGAGCCACTGAATGGTTCAATAAGCTTCACCCGGGAAGCATTGATTCGTTCAGTGATTTGGCCTCGAAGTTCAAGGCCAAGTTCCAGGAGAATTGTACTAAGAGGAAGAAATTCACCTATCTTAGTACAGCCGGGCAGAGGGAGTCTGAGAACCTTACTCAGTTCCTTACCCGGTGGAAGGAAGAGGTAGACAAGGTGGAAGAGATGGATGACAAAACCGTCTTATCCCCCCTCTTGAATGGCTTGCGTGCCGGGGAACTATACAAGGAATTCTGCCGGAAACCCCCGGCCACATACCAAGAGGCCTACCATACTGCATGGGAGTTTGCTGAGGCTGAAACTCAACTCCGGGCAAAGAAAGAAGCTGAGCATGGTTTCAAGCCCAAGCCGAAGCAAGTCAAGAAGGAAGAAACACCGGGATCCAGCCGGCCAAGGCACCACTATGACCCGGTCGTCCGTATGGTCAATACGGAAGAATGCCAAGAAATCCGGAAAGCACCGGTCATTCCTCCGGAAAACCCTACCGGTCAAACAGGGCGGCAGTGGTCGGGCACCTATTGTTTGTACCACAGGTCAGATTCTCATAACACCTCCGAATGCAAAAGTGTTAAGGGGGTCACCCGGCAGATGATAGACAGTGGAGAACTGGGCAAGGATTACTTGCAGAAAGACTAGGAGAAGAGTCATCAATTGGTTAGGCCAGCTGCCCCGGGGGATGACCGGGACAGCGACCGGCGGAGGAATAACCGGCCAAGGGAGCGGCAACCTGCTCCTGAAAAAGAACACATAGGCATGATCTTCGGCAGACCTGAGGGTGAAGATTCAGCCGCGCAACGGAAGAACTGGGTCCGGAGCATTTGCGTTGGTGAGGTAAGCGCTGAACCGCCCAGACGTAAGCATACTAGGAGGGAGCCGATCGTCTTTACTGACCGGGATCTCCCTCCTACCGGTGAAGATCACAATGATCCATTGGTAATCACCATGGACATTAATGGGGTGGATGTCGCCCGGGTACTTGTTGACACCGGCAGCAGTGTCAACATCTTATACCTGAAGACTTTCCAAAACTCAGGTTGTGTCGGACACAACTTGAACCCCTGAAGACTCCTCTCTCAGGCTTTACGGGAGACACCGTTGAAGCTGAAGGATCCATAGTTCTACCGGTCAAACTAGGATCGGGTGAAAAAACTGTATGAAAGAAGATGCGGTTCATAGTTGTGGACATCAAATGCGTCCACAACGCAATCCTTGGAAGACCAGGCATCAATAAGGTCGGGGCGGTGATTTCCATGCCTCACCTGTGCATGAAGTTCCACACTCCAGGTGGTGTGTGTGAAGTGAAAGGCGACCAGAGGAATGCCCGGGAATGCTATGCCCGGGCAGTCAAGAAGATGACCAAGGGGGTCAATGTCATCTCTCAAGAAATCACAAAGGGAGAGACCCGGGAGAAATTGGAACCCGAGGCCGAGACGGTGGAAATTGAACTTCACCCGGGTGATTCTTCGAGGATGGTCAGAATTAGAGCAAATCTCCCCGAGGATCTCAAGGCGGAGATTACACGGGTCCTCCAAGAATACGCGGGCATATCTATACTATTCTTAAAAGCAGGGGAAATTTTTCCCGCCCAAACGCACCTACGTTGTGAATCGTCTATTAGCGTCAGAATCTTGATCCACGGCCATTATTCATCTTTGGAACGTTTCCATGTATAATCGTGCTTAATAACTAATACGGAGTAATGTTTACATGTGTAATGATTAATAATAATTGTGCATATGACGTATTATATTAGCAAATATTTAATAATATATCAAGTTTCCGTGTTTAATAATATTGAAATAGAAAGCTCACGTGTTTAATAATTTATAATTATTAAACGGTTGAATATTTTTATATAAATATATTATTTTTGTTAGGCATGTATTACGTTGAAATAGCAATAAAAATACTAAGCTAAAAAAGGTAAGAATGGAAATAGTTTTGAAATAACGTTTATTTTTAGGAAACTTTTTTACACTATTGCCCAATATATCTTTTATATAATGTCAATTTAATTATGGAAAGGTTTTAATAGCTTTTAAAAATTTTACGCTTAGCTTTCAATCTTATGGTAATATATTACCTTTATAGAGATAATTAATTTCACTTACGGCACATT